TGACTAGTGATTTCCTTAAATTAAGGCAGGATGTTTCTAAAAGTCCTCATTTGACTTGATGGTATTTTTAAGTTTACATAACTGAGTACTAACAATTTTGGGATGTCTTTTCAGTGCTGTTAACTATTATGTGTAAGTTGTAGAAGACTTCTAAATAAATGGGTGGGTTCCGTTTGGGTTGGTTCTGAACTTTCATCTTTTTTCTTCTGTGTCTGTGTGTGAGAATAGGTGTAAAAATATGTTTCTGGCCACAGCCTAGAAATTGGTAGGTTGACTGTTTCCTAGTGTTAACTGGAGTAACTCTGGGATTTAGAATTTCCCCGAGAATAGCTTTTCCTAGTGCTGTTTTGAAAGAAAATAATTGTTCTTGCAATTGGAAGAAAAGCAGCACTGTCTTTCTTACAAAATAAAAAAACTTTTTACTTATTTAAGGCTTGAGTCCTCAGCATGATTTTCAGGAAAAAGTCAAAGCAGAGTATTACAGTAACCCTTCATTTATTTAAAATGATGTGACTGAGTGATGGTCAGTTCCTTTGTTTCCAGCCCTGCTGAAAATCATTAGGTTGGATGTTAAGAGTAAGCTCCTGCCTACGAGGCTGTGTGAAGTTCATGCTTTAGACCCCCCAGGATGGGAAGTCCTGGAAGCAGCACTCCGTGTGTGACCAGTGAGAACAGTGATGTTTACCTTGAGGGAGATCGAGGGAAACAGACCTGGTGTACTTCTTGTCAGCTGGGAGACATTCCAGAACAGCTCTGTCATCCTCCCTGGGTAGGACATGGTGAATGATACCAAGACTCTGGTGATTAAGAACCTGGAGTGCCTTGGACATTGCTATTTCGAAGTTTGTTCCCTCATTTGTAGCTATAGGGGGTATAAATGCTGTCCCGTTGTGAACCTAAGTGACTCTAGAGCCTGCTCGGGCCTTCCCCCCCACTTGTGTGAGCAGATGGTAGCAGTGTTTCCTAAACGTTGGGCTTTTGTCATAACCCCTGCCTGCACCTGTATCATGCCCTGTGTCATCCTCCTTGTTGACTCATGAAGTGCTCGTCCTCTGCCTGCTCTGTGCGGGTCCTCTGCAGACTCTCTCCCATCCTGAGGCTGCTTGGTGGCCGGGGCCCGCGTGGGGCTCCCCTGCCCGCGAGTGTTGCAGGACTGTGAGTGCCGATTAACGCTGAAGAAAAGGAGCGCCGTTCCATGGCCTGGGCAGCCTTAGGACTGGAGGTGCTCCCCACGAGGGCGGAGTCGGGGTGCTCGCCGCCCTGCGAGATGCAGGCACCATGCTGCGAGATGCAGGCACCGCGAGGAGGCCCGTGTGGAGGAAGGAGCACCCGAGGTGCGGCCCAGACCCTCAGGAGCGCAGCTCTCAGACTCGGCTCCTGTGTCCTTTCAGGCGGTCTCAGAGAGTCCTGAACAGAGAGGCATTTGTGATACTCGTTACCTGTGTTTATGAGCTTTAGATGGAAAAACAAGCCTACTTTAAACTCTTTCTTGAAAGGACAATAAAAGTTTAGAACTTGGTTTTTCAGGGTTTTTATGTGACCTAATGTTGTCAGCCATGAATTACCATCAGTCTCTTACTCAAAATAGCAGTAAAGAGAATTTTTATTACTTGCAATGTTTATTGACTAAATGTTTATGTTCTCAATTCCTAGTTTAAAAAACATCGGGTCACTACAATATTATATATTTATCACCCAAACACATATACAGTGTATACCTTAAAACATACACACCCTACTTTAGGTACAAGCTCTTCATTTTAAATAAAAGTTACTTTTGGGTTGCTAAAGATACATTCTATGACAGTACTCCTCATTGTCCATCATATGTATGGACATCACTCCTTTTAGGCCACTTGTACTAGCTAATGATTGATTTCTGCAGCATGGCAGAATGTTTTCTGGTGCACACAACCTCTCTGCACTAAGTGACGAGTGGCTCTGCCCTGGTATGCTGATGGTACAGGCTTTTTTCATAGCACATTCAGAACCACTTCGTGTTTAGATGCCGGGTGTGCTGTTTATTGTTTTTATTCAGTAAACATCTCAGTGCCATCTACACGCACTGGAAATTTTGGCTTGGAGAACAAAAGCAGATTCAGCAAAGTGTAAATCACTGGTTTCTCTAGACGCTTACAGAACGGCACATGCTTTAGTTGTTCACAGGCTTCAGCCTCCTGTCTTAAGCTTCCAGGGAGTCCGTAATTGGAGGACTTTCCCATAGAGGTGACCATTCACAGCCAGTTCATTTATCCACATTTGTGAGAAAGGCAGAAGTTGGAGGAGAATCGGTCAGTAGACTGTTAGGGAGCTGAGCTGTGTGGAGAATTTAGTGGCCCAGTGCCTCTTGTGTGTGTGACATAGCCTCTGGTGGGACCTGGGGGCTAGTGTGCTGTGTCCGCCCCTGTAAAAAAAAAAATATATATATGTTTTAAAAAACAGCAAAACTTAACCCTTGCAGAGTGAATTTATGAACCGTATACTAACATAATTTTAATCTGATTTTAGGTAAATTAATAAGTAATGGATTACTGGCTCTTAACGATTAGGAGTATGTGTATATATCCTAAAAATTTTCAGCTTTTTAGTATAGAAAAATTTCAAGTGTATGCAGAACTGGAGAGACTTCACACAGCTTTTCCAGACTTCCCATTAACTTTACGTGGATTGTGGTCCCACAGAAAGGCCTGGCCCACCTTTCTGTAGGGCTTCCATTTATCCTTTGGGGGTGCTTCTCCATCAGGCTGGAGTAACTCTCCACAGGATCGCATTTTAGGCAGTTCCTGCTGACAGAATGCAGGAGCACCCTCCCCTTCAGCTGTCCTCAGCCCTGGCTGGATGTCCTTGGAAGGAGCCTTAAGATATGTTCCTGTCTGGGCTCCAGCTCAGGACAGTCTGACTGAGTGGCTCTGGACTAAAGCCCAGGAACAGTAACATCTGAAAGCTGCCCAGGTGACGGACGTGCAGGTCGAGACCCTTTACCAGTCTCAGGCCAGGGGTGGTGTGAGCTCTCGGTTTTGGCAGATGTCCTTTTCAGGTTGACAAAAGACCTTCTGTTCCTAGTTCATCAAGAATTTTCATTATGAATGCTTTTCCTGTATCAGTGCAGATGGTCATATGGTCTTTTCCTCCACTGATGTGGTCTGTAAATTGGTTTTTGAGTGTTAAACCAACCTTGCATTCCTGGGATAAATCTTACTTGGCTATGGTGTATGATCCTTTTCTGTTGTTGAATTTAGCTTGCTGACATTTTAGTGAGGATTTTTTTTCATATATATACATACATATTTATTTATTTATTTATGAGGGATATTCTTCTGTGGCTTTTGTTTCTTTTCTGTCTTTGACTTTTGTATCCCAGAAAAACAGGCTTCAAAAATGAGTCGGACCATGGCTAATTCATTTCAATGTATGACAAAAACCACTGCAATGATGTAAAGTAATTAGCCTCCAACTAATAAAAATAAATGAAAAAATTAAAAAAACAAAAAACAAAAATGAGTCGGAAAGTTGTTCCTCCCCTTCTGCCTTCTGAGTGTGTAGAATTGGTAGTCTTTCTGTCTTAAATGTTTGATAGAATTCACCAGAGAATCCATTTGGGCCTGGGTTTTTCTTTGTGGAAGGTTTTTAATGACTGATTCATTGTCTTAGATTTCCAGATTTTCTCTTTCTTCTTGAATCAGTTTTGGTATCTTGCATCTTGCCTGGAAAATCCCGTGGACAGAGGAGCCTGGCAGGCTGCAGTTCATGGGGTCTCAGAGCTGGACGTGACTGAGCACACAGCACATCTTTTAAGAAATTTGTCCATTTCATCTAAGTTCCCTGATTTTGTTGATATAAAGTTGTTCAAAAGATTATTTTACATTTTGAAGTGCCACTTTTGATAATCCCTCTTTTATTCCTGATTTTGGCAATTTGTGTCTTCTCTTTTCCTTAGTTTAGTTAAAGGATTATCAGTTTTATTGGTCTCAGGAATCCAGTTTTTGGAGTGATTGACTTTTCCCGGTTATTTCTCTGTTTACTATGTCCTTGTTTTTCTCTGTGATCTTATTTCCTTCTGTTCAATTTTGGGTTTGGTTTCCTAGTTTCTTGTGGTAACAGGTCAAGTTGTTGACTGTAGATCTCTTTTCCTTCCTGATGTCACTGCTTTAGTTGCAGCCCCTTGATTCTGATATGCTGTATTTTTACTTTCATTCAGAATGCCTTCTGTTCAGGGTCTGTTCTCCTTTCCATCTCCAAGCCCGATTTCTGGGCCAGCGGCCGTGGCACCCCCAGCTCAGTGACTGGCCTCGGCCCTGCGGTCCCCACTCTGCAGCGCTCAGCTCTTCTCCCTGCTTCCCCCGCGGTTCCCTGTCTGCCGCGGGGGGCTTGTGTAGGCCTCCAGTGACTCTTGATTTCTAGAATGTGGATTCCCAGCTGGTCTGTTTTTGTCCCGAACAGGACTGAGCCGGAGGCCAGCACGCATGTGGGGACTTGTGACTCAGAGGGGAGGGGTGACTGGGTGCTGTCAGCCTGTGGGTGCTGTGGGGAGCCCCACGGTTGAGGGTTGTCTCTGCAGGGGGGACGGGCTGGGGTGCGCCCGGGGGCGGTCAGGAAGATGATCCACTTGCATGAGGTTTGAAGGGGAGTTAAAAGTTTAAAGCAACTGCTGATGTATACTGTCAGATTTTCACAAGGATGCTCCTGACAATGGAAGAGGCATGTCAAGTATGAACTATTTTTAAAGTTAAGCAGTATTTCATTGAACTAAAGAGGACCTACTTTAATAATTACAGACCTCTTGAGTGGATCCAGTAATTAAAGGTCTTAGACTTAAATTTGATAAAGACTCTTTAACCCTAACACCTGTCAGGTGAGAATGTCCTTTCCTTAGGCCCTCATGAGATGGCAGGTGGGTGGTCTCGCCCCTTGGTTGAGCACTAATCGAGGTGGACCCCGATGCTGGGGAGGGAGACTTGTGTGTGCAGACACTGACCAGCGTGCTGCCTTGTCTGTTTCAGCAGGGAGGAGAGAGCGATGGCTTTTTTCACCCGGAGGGCCAGCCTCAGCGGCTCCCTCAGGCCCCAGAAGTGAGGCAGCAGCCCGCCCGCAAGGTGACGCTGACCAAGGGGGCCCTCCAGCAGCCCCAGCACCCTGCGGTAGGGGCCCACATGCACACAGCCGGCCCGCCAGGCATCAAGAGCATCCAGGGGATCCACCCGGCCAAGAAGGTGCTGCCCAGCCCCGCCCCTGGGAGTGCTCTGGTGGGGGTGCCTGACGAGGCTGGGTCGAGGAGCAGGGCTTCCCCCGTCCCTGGGTCTGAAAGCTGCCGTGCTCACAGGCGCGCGTCCCTCCCTGACTTCACGGCGGGGTTCTGGGCGTGCACCAGGAGCCGGGTGTGGCGTCTCTGCAGCTCGGCACGCACTTGATGCAGCCCTGCACGGCCCCTGCCCTCCCAGCTGCTCCCCCAGGGGCTCCTCAGGTGTTTCCTCCTTGGCGCCTCACTCACAGACGGGAAGCCTTTGGGGTGAAGCTCCCTGCCTGAGTGAGTGCCTCCTGCCGCGGTTCTCTCTGCACTGAGGCATGCCTTGTCCCAACTCCATGAGATGAGAGCTGTGGCCACCTTTCTGGGAGAGGAGCGTGCGCCACGCCCCGTCATGTCCCGTGCTGGCACCCCTCCCTGCACCTTCTAGTGGGGAGCGTCTTCATGGCCCTCCCCAGGCCCTCCTCTCCGCCCGACAGCCGCACACGGGAGCAGAGGAGCGCAGACGCCTGCTCTGAGTTCTCCTGGAATCACTCGACCCTGCCAGTCCCTCCTCTGCCGGTCTTGCTGCTGACACTAAGGAGTAATGTTAGTGTGAAGACAAGCCTAGGTCTTTGAAAGGTTTAAATCCCTTCGCGTTTATTATCTCATAAATACCGTATGGTGCAGGAGCAAGCAGAACTGCCTGTCTGTGCTGCGAGAGGCACCCACATGGTCATACTCATCATACCTTTGGGGCAAAGCTTTAAAGAATGTTCCAAAAAAAAAAAAAGAGAATGTTCCAGTCTGAGTTTCCTTAAGTTGGGTGTTATCCCTGGATACATAATGAGAAAGACCTCAGGAAAGGCCCCCCCCCCACTGTAGCTGTACCCACAGATAGTGCACTTGAGGGTCTTTAGTTGCTGTAGTTAGGGTTTTGGTTTTGCTTTGAAAGCCCTGCCAAGGAGTGTTGTGTGGGGTGGGGTGGGGGTGGGTGGGGACCTTTGCTGCAGAATCTGCCTTTCAGGACGGATACTGCCGTGGCCGGCAGTGGTGGGGAGCTGGCTGGGGGCGGTGCCACACAAGTTCACTGACACTGCACACACACACACACACACACACCCCCACCCCACCCCACCCCACCCCCCCACCCCAGGAGCACAGCCAGCCTTTGTGTCAGCCGAGCGCATTTCTGGAGCCTGTGATCCTGCTGCTTTGTGTCCGGGGTGCCCGTGTGAGCAGGTCGATGGTGGCATGCAAGGTGCCCAGCTGGCACCGTGCTTGATGCCCAGGCTGACCAAGCCTGCACCGCTCCCTCTCCCCCTCTCCATGCGAGCGTGCTGGATGCCATGGTCCTGTTCGGACATTCAGGCCTTTTCTGACAGTAGATAAAAGCTACAGAGACTCCTGTAGCTCGTGGTGTATTTTAGTGGACTCTGACTGACTTGCTCACTCTGTGTCTTGGTAGCTGTGAGAAGACCCAGAGTGTAACACCTGAACAGTTCCTTCTGTCGTTGCCAGGTCCTCATGCACGGGAGAGGCCGGGGCCTGGCGGGAGCGATGGGCCGGGGACGCCTGATGCCCAACAAGCAGAACCTGCGGGTGGTGGAGTGCAAGCCTCAGCCCTGCGTCGTGTCTGTGGAGGGGCTCTCCTCGTCCACCACTGACGCCCAGCTGAAGAGCCTGCTGACGTCGGTGGGGCCCATCCAGGTGCGCCTCCCTGCGCGTGTGGTCTGTGCCCTCCATCTTTCCCTCCCAAGACTCAGTTCTTTAAAATCCCTGAGAAGAAAGCCCAATGTTTTCTCATTGTGCACACTTGGTACCAGAACTTTTTCCCTGAGGATTAGTGTTTGGAGTTTTTCACGTGTTCAGAAACTTCATGAACTATTTATTCCAGCTGAACAAATTATCCTTTGAAATCCTCAAATTATCCTTGAGTTCTTGAGGAGAGGCCTGTCGGTCATCAGACGCGATAAACTTGTGTCTACGGGGAGCTGTTCTTGGACAGTCCATCATAGATTGGGTTAATCCGCAGGAACACAGCTGGCGTCAGAGAGCTTACGATGCTTTTAAAAATACAGGTCTCCTGAGTGGAGATTCTCCAACAAGTGGAAGTTGAAAACCGGGGATCAGATCACAGTACCGTAGTGAGCCTGGGACCCCGGGGTGGGGTGGGGTGGGTGGTGAGTCCAGGCTGTGCCCTGGGCCCCTGCTCCTGGCTGGCTCCCGGCCCGTGTCAGGGCGGGCGGTGTGGCGCTATTGCTCTCCATCTGTGACCTCTGGCCGTCTGGGCTGTGCTCCTGCCCCACGGTCGTGATGGTTCTCCTGTGCGTCCTTGAGTGCGAGTCTGTGATCAGGATCAGCGTGTGATGGCAGAGCCGTTGCTGCTCACAGCACTGCACAACGCACCTGCAGAAGTTAGCTTGGCTACGTTGCCGAAGCACTTCCCCTTGGTTACATCCATCTTAAAGTTGAAATTTGAGTTCTGCATTTTGGGGGTCATCTTTCCATTTGCCTTTTATTTATTTATTTTTTCTCCTTCTCCTGTTCTGGAAAGGATGATTAGCGAATCATTGTGTTAAAGTTTAATGGAGGGCGCTTTATTGAAGTGGAGCAAAACTGATACTGGGTATTGGGTATTTAAAGCTGCTTTTTATTAGAGAAGAAGGCAGGAAGATAAGAGTGGTTACATCAGGTGCCCTTAGAATGCCACCGGAATTCACTGGGTCACAAGGGTGACCCACTGGGGCCTGTGGGCCATCCCAAGGGTCCCAAGGAGCCAGCACCCCTCTCTCCTTGCCAGTCTTAGTCCCGAGGGATGGTGTTGAGGGGCGTTCACAGGTCTGTAAGCACTGTGTTCACAGAGTGCTAATGTAACATTTTGCCAGCATTAGATAGCTGAAGACCGATATTGGTGAGTTTAAATTGTGAGAAGATGCTTATAACAAGACACGGATGTGGTTTAACTGTAAATACACTTCAAGGGGGTGGTGAGGAGATCCAGGTCTCCTGGCTGCAGGAGAGGCAGATGTCAAGCCTCTGGTGGGTTGGCCTGTGGCGCCACCTGGCACCGGTGTGCCCTGAGAGCACGCGGTGGTGCCTGCACCAGAAGGCCCTGCCTGGTGCCCGCTAGCAGTGGTGTGGGAAGAAGCAGAGAGAAGAGCCTGTCTGCCCCTCCACCATGCCAGGGCTCCTGCTCTGAGGGAAGGGACAGGCAGACCGGGGCGGAGTGAGACTGCGCGGCTGGCTTAATGTGGTGGGGCGGGGGGCGCGGCAGCGGTTGGGGGCTCTGTGGACAAGTGAACCTCGTCAGCTGCCGGGCCCTCCAGGACGCAGCGGGGCAGTGGGCGTCAGGCTTTGAGAAGGATTCTGTCTCGGTTCTAAGTTTGCCATTTCTTGGGGTGTGGCTTCCCAGCCAAGGACTTCCCCCAGGACCCACACAGTAATGCACGTATTGTCTCTGCCTCTGCCTCCGCCCCTGCCCCTGGAGTTACTGCAGATGTGGGGTGAAGGAAACATGGGGCCTCCAGGCGCCATAGAGGGACAGTGTGTGCTCTCGAAAGGGGCCCGTCGTCCCAGCGCGAGGTCTCTGGGGTCGCTTCAGGCTGTCAGCACTGCTGTTCCAGGGTGCAGGTACTGGGGAAGTCCTTGTTCTGGGGGTATCTTGGGTTACCCGGTGAGGAGGAGCCCCTTGGAGCCATCGTGTGAGGTGGGATTGTGTTGGAGCATCTCAGCTCTTGTGAGGAGCCCTGCTGCCTGCCTTCTGGTTTTGACGGACCAGGAGTGTCTGGGGTGACCTGGAGGAAGTCAGGATCTCAGTGGAAGAAGTTCAGTCATTCTGAAGTTGAGTACGTTTGGGAAAGAAAACACTAGGTGTAGTTAAATGTTGCTGTTCAGTCCCTCAGCCGTGTCTAGCTCTTTGCGGCCCCATTGACCACAGCATGCCAGTCCTCCCTGTCCATCACCAACTCCTGGAGCTTGCTCAGACTCATGTCCATTGAGTCAGTGATGCCATCCAACCATGTCATCCTCTGTCGTACCCTTCTCTTCCTACCTTCCATCTTTCCTAGCATCAGGGTCTTTTCTAGTGAGTCAGTTCTTCATATGAGGTGGCCAGAGTGTTGGAGCTTCAGCCTCAGCATCACTCCTTCCAGTGACTATTCAGAAGTGTAGACGTTCCCCACACTGATGTTTTGAGCTTTAAAGAAAACCCGTGTGGCCACATGATCTGAAACTTTGATGGGAAAATTGTTAACCAGAGGCTCCCACACAGAGTTCTGAAAATACTATTGTAAGTAATTCTCCCAAAAAAGAGGATTCCAGGCAGAGCGCGTGGTAACCTGAGGGCTGTGATCTGTAGGGTAAGTTTGTACAAGAGGGAGATGAGAGCAGAAGGGGAGCCTCAGTGTCTCTCAACTGTGTCAGAGCAGAAGGAATAGCGCTTATACTTTGGGTGAGAGGAAGCCCAGACATTGGAACTGAGGAAAAGACACAGACTCGGCATCGAGACCACATCTCGTGTGAATGTGAAGAGGAAGCAGCATGTGGCTGAGCTGTGTGAGACCAGAGTCGCTGTTCCAAACGCCCATTGCCAGCGAGAGGGCCAGGCGACCCATGCAGAATGAAGAGGGCGCTGTCTCTGCACTCCAGCCCAGCTGCGGCCCTGGGGAGGAGAGCTGGAATGGGGGCAGGCCTGCTGCCCCGGCACGTTCCGGGGGGCCCCCAGCTGCCCTTGAGGCCCGGCCTGCCCAGGGACCATTGTCAGTATAAATCTGGTGATTATACCTGGAGCTCTGTTTGAGCACTTTCGTGTGTGTCTAAAACACCAAATATCACCGTCAGTTTTGGCTTCAGGTCAGTTCCTGAAGGTGCTGGGAACTGTTGGCCAGACTAGGGAGAGTAGTTTAAGTGATTTTCAGGATGGCGGGTTCACTTCAGCATCCCCCCAGCATTGTCATTTATTCATAGGCACAGACACGAACTCAGGCTCTTCCTGGAAAGAGGAGGAATTTTCCCTAAACAGGGAAAAGAGGCCCAGAACAGCATGGACAATTTTCTGGCCTTAAACTCTCTGCTGTCCCTGCAGTGCTTGTGGCAGCTCAGTCCAGGGGTCACTGAATACACACGCAGGAAGCCGCTACGAGAAGGGCACCATGGCGTTTGTTCTCGGGACTTGTCTGCAGGCGTCTCTGTGAGATAAAAGTGGACCTGGGTGGGCTGGGCAAGTCAGCCTGTCTCCATGGGCCAGTCAGGTGTTTGTGGGGCAGCTGCGCAGGGTCAGAGAGTATCGAATGGAGACAGACTTTAGCTCTCAGTTTGTTCTGGGTGAATTAAAGTGATTACTTATTTGGAAATGGGCTGCTGATTTGCGGGACGTATTTTCAGAATGGAAGCTGGTGGTCATAATACATGCCTTTTAGTTTATAGTACACAGTATCTTTTTCCCTCTTCCCAGTAGAGTGATCACTAATATTTGTCATTTTGGTAGGTCAGAAATGGTTAAATATTGACAGTTTTGGCAGTTTATTAATCTTTTATCTGAAAATAGCCTCTGTATTTGGGGAAAGCGCAGAAATGCCAATAAGGGGAGCAGAAAGCAGACTTTCAGGTGGTGGTCTTACTGCTGGCGTTGACTGCTGAGAAGCTGTGCCCGTATGCCCGGTGCCCTTGAGCACTGCAGCTGCGTGGCGTGAGTCAGGAGGCGGGCCTGGCGGGGCGTCTGCTGCGATGCGGGGCTGTCCTCGTGACCGGAGGGTAGCTCCTACCACGCTCCCCTCGGGGCTCCACGGGTCCCGGGACAGCATAGTGCTTCCTCTTGCCTCTTCTCTTCGGAGGCAGTTCTAGAGTGTCAGCAGGTGGAGGTGCTTGGAGGAGAAGACAGAGTGGGTACGTGCTGAAAGCTGGGCCGGCAGGTCTCTGTCAAGTAATTCAAGTGGGTTTCAGAGGCCAGGAAGGCTGTGTGCTCCCAGTGTGTCCCAGTGAAGTTAGTTGATGGCACTGATTAAAGACCAGGCTGTTGAGCTTCACTTGTCCAGCTTTACTTGGAGAAGGAAATGGCTACCCACTCCAGCATCCTTGCCTGGAGAATCCCATGGACAGAGGAGTCTGGCGGGCTACAGTTGACAGGGTCACGAAGATCGGACGCAACTGAGTGACTTCACTTTGTCCAGTGAACTTAGTGATCAGTGAAATTTTCAAGAAAATTCTTCTGCCCCTGGGTTTTGTATCTGACAGAAGAGGTAAATCTGGTATTTGCTCAGCTGGTGTCAGAAGACCAGGCAGGCGAGCCTGCTGGTGGCCGCCCTGCCTCCCGGGGTCCTGGTCCTGGTGCTGGTCAGCGTCGCCTGGTGGCATGCCGGGTGAGCTGACTGCCCCTCCGCGGGGCTGGTGTGAACCTTGGTGCTGCGTCAGCTGAACACTAGAGACTTCATTTCTGGATAAGCACCGAAGAGCAACTTTTTGGAAAAAGTGTTTCCTTGGTGCTCTCCTCATCGTGCTTACTCGTGGAAGTTCTGTGCTTATGAGAATGGAGAGTGCCACAGCAAATCTTTTTGAATGTATTTCAGAGAATTGATGTTTTGGCTGGGTACTTCTGTTGGAAGTCTCTGAAGCAGCGCTCTAAACTGAAGCCACCACACGTGTGAACCTGTGTACAGGGCGCTGTGTTAAAGCCACCACGCGCGCGAGCCCGTGCACGGGGCGCCGTGTCACTGCTGGCTGTTTCTGGCTGCATCGCTTCCCTGGACAGGAGCCCAGACGCAGCGGACAGTCCTCAGCCACCGAGTCCCGTGCGGCTTCCTCGGGCCGGGTCCTCCAGGGGGCAAGGTCTCCGCCGCCCCCTCCTCACCGGACACTTCGCTCACTGCCCCAGACACACGTGGCAAGTCACCAAAATGCTTGAGAAGGATCAGGCTCTGGAGAGTGGGCTGGCTGAGAAATCCGAGTCCTCTTTCGGCACGTCCCTCCCAAATTCTAGAGTGCTCTGTCCGCAGGCCCCCGGGGAGCACAGAGCTGCCCTCATCCTTGGGGCAGGCGTGAGGACCAGCTGTCCGTTCACGGTCCTGGCACTGGTCTCCTCGCTAGACAGATCCATCCGCTCCACACATGCCTCTGGTCTTCACTCCGGAGAGTAGCCTCGGAAATGGTGTTTCACATCCTAGGATTCAGTTTAAGGTTCCACTTCATGCCCCCCGACATTGTAAAGTGCAGAGTGAGCAGACGGGGCCGAGGGCTGCCCCATTCCCAGCCCCCCGGCTGGCAGCCCTGTTCTGTGCAAGGACCTGGGTCTGCCCCAGTGGTCCTCGGGGGAGCGCCGCCCCTCCGCCCCGGGCCCCTGGCTGGCTGCGTCTCCTGTGTGAGCGGGGCCCGGGGAACGTCGCCTGATGGGAAGGGAGTCTCCAAGGACTGCCCCAGGTCTGCGTGAGCAGGTGGAGGGAAGCAGGGGCAGCTGACGGGCGAACAAAGGAAGGTCTTCACACCAGGCCTGGAGGGTGCTGAGTGCTGCTTAGGGCAGGCATGGGGCCATCTGGACAGGGAGCTTGGATTAGCTGGTTTGTTTTAGGGACCTGCCGTCTGCCTGGACTGGAACCTCGTGTTAACCCCAATGGACCGGCATGTACGTTGGTGCACAGCTTGGCTCTGATGCGCTTCTGTCCTCTTCCTTCAGAGCTTGCAGATGCTCCCCCAGCAGCGGAAAGCCATAGCGAAGTTCAAGGAGCCAGCACACGCGTTGGCGTTCCAGCAGAAGTTCCACAGGTAGCGTGGAGTCCCTGGGGCCAGAGGGGGGCAGGCCGGCTGCAGGACGCGTTGCGGAGTGTGCCGTGGGCGGCCCCCCGGGTCCGCGGGGGGCGGGGGGGCTTCATGTGCCCGCTGTGCCACCTCCCGCAGGCACATGATAGACCTGTCCCACATAAACGTGGCCCTGATTGTCGAGTGACCACTGCGGACGGGCTGACCGGGACGCCGCACACACACTGTGGAACTCCTCCGGAGCTGCGCGCAGAGGCCCCACGAGCCATCTCTCCGTCCACAGCCCTGCCAGGCCGTTGTCCAAGGCGCCCGACGGCCCAGCACCGATTCCAGAAGAGCTGGACTTGCGGGACGTGGCAGACTCGAGTCGCTGTTAGAGCGTTCACGTTCTGTTGGCACCACAAAGAACTACAGTTCCATTTTCTTTTGTTTTCCAAGTGCTTACAATGCATGTAGACGTTGTTCTTTGTGATCTTACTGTATAATCGAGTCCAGTGACCTAGGGTCAGGAGAGACCATCACCGTCACAGATTCTCAGCATTTTTCACAGCAAAGAACATTTGATAATGGTTGCACTTATCTTCAGTGCAGGCTAGACGAGTGTCTCCTTACCCGGCTCCACGCGCGTTCCTTTCTCAGAAGGCCCTCCAGGGCTCTTGTGAACATGCAGAGGCAAATTCGGGTGGTGATATCCTGGGAAGCAGGGTATGCGGGTGGCTGGGAGTGGTGTCAGTGGTGTGGCAGATTCTGCTTCTTGTAAATGTTCCCAGAGCGCCAGCTGTAATACGCCCAGTTCCAGAGGGAACGCCCCTTTCTCCACGCTGCCCAGATAGCATGGAGATGCTGGTGGGTACCGGTGTGAGCCCGTCCAGGCTGAGCGCAGGTTAGGGGCCCCACTGGGTGAGGATAGGCCAGCCGGAAGCTTGAAAGGGCGTATTTGGTTTTTTCCCCTTTTTAGACACAGCCCCAAGAGGCATAGTCACGTCACTGGCTCTGTGATACATATGTGACTGTTGGGAAACCTGGTTATCACTGCTGTGACGAGCATTTTCTTCTTTGAAGGCCTTTTGAGCAGGGCTGCGTTGTCCTTCAGTGGACCCCAGAGCAGGGGGCTGTTTGCACGGGTGTGTGGGCGGGCGGCTTGGGGATGCGGGTTAGCTTCATTCAGGTGAGATGCTCGCTCCCTGTAAAGTCATCTTCAGTAAAATCCGTTCTGGGCAAACAATGACAAAAGTGCCTTAATGTATTTGTGCTCATGAAGGAGTCTCACTGTTTGGGTTTATTCTAACATGGCCTGAACTGTTGGAGCAAATGGCAACTGGGGCATACTCAGACTTTTTAGCTGAATTTTATACCTAAGATTTCCTGTCACATTTATTAGTAGAATTAAGGGAAACAGACGCCTGTTGCTGGTTAGCGCCCCTAGTCAGCACAGTGAGACCCCTCAGCGGGGCGCCCCTTTCTCAGCCTTCTCGTGGGGAGCTGAGACACAGGTCATGTGATTTTGTATCTTTTTGTTTTCACAGTTGAAATTTTATGTTTTTCAAATTAAGTCACCAGAACTGGAGGGGAGTATTGAGACCCGTGAGCCTCTGTAGCGCTGACTCCACAGTGTTCCACGTGCTAGGAGGGAGCCTGCAACGTGAAGGTGGGTGCGGATGGCCGCTGCTCAAAGGCTGCACAAAGAGTGCACACGAAGCTGTAGGCACTTGTAGATTACCTCTCGCTGGGGGCGCCTGGCCACCCGCGCTCCAGAAAGCCCTGCCTCACCCGTGGGGGCTGGTGGTTGTACCTGCCTGGCCCCAGGTGCTCTAGTGGAGCGTCTGGCGACTGGCGTGCCCGCCCCTCTGCCCGTCTTTACAAGTAGATGCAGGTGTGTTCGCACGAGCATGGCTCGTGTGGCTCAGTCCACGGAGAGCTGGGTTGAAGCTGCAAGTGGGGTACTGCAGGTGCCATGCGGGGGGGTCCAGGCCACCTCCCCTCCCTGGGTGGCAGGAGGCTCACAGTTAAGGGGCTTGCTGAAGGCTTGATGACGCAGTGAGCCTACCGACTTTACCACCGTTGGAAACAGTCTGAGTGTGCTGTGACTTGGAAGCTAAAAATCTGCTCGTTGTCTCCATAATGTAGCTAGGCATACTTTTTTCTAGTTAGTGATAACAAACGAATCCTGTTTGTGCACCTTTGTTCACGGCAGACCTCATAGCTACCCTAAGGTCTGCTTCTGTGTTGTCTGAGCCCGACATGGTGCCCTGGGACATGTGTGCATCTGTAACTGTCTGCACACACCCGGAACACGCTTTCTCTGGATAGAATGTTCTTGAATGGCCGTTGGCTAAGTCAGCCAGGCCTTCTGTCAAGGCCTGGTTAGATAGGCTCTCCATGGTCACCTCCTGACACACACAGCCCGTGGGCATGGGCTGTCAGAGCCGACCAGGCCTGGGGACGCAGCTTCGGTTTCCTTGAGGAAACTGGGAAAGGAAGGAAGCAGAGTTAGAAGGGAGCGCTGTTCCCATCTCGTGCACCTCATGCAGTGCAGTGCGATCAGACCACCGCACGCTGAACCCTCTGGGAAGATCTGTTGCAACCATTATCTTTGTTCTTTATTTATCATGCATTTAAAGTGAGATGCAGAAGCAGTTAACACACTATGTAAATATGGACCTTTTAAAATTAAAACGTTATTGGAAGTGCTTTCAATTCAGCAACATCGTAGCTATTTGTTAGTTCTTTTGTGTTGTCTTATCAAAGTTTAATGGATACAGTTCCATAATGTTGATGTGTTTGTGTGTATATTCGATTTTTATAAAGATGGTAGTAAGTCAATACATTTATCCTGATCTGTGTATTATTTGTTCACAAATTCAAGAAGCCAGTAAATATCATTATATCTCATAAGGTAAAGACAGCGATTATGTGGAGCTCAGGTACCCTTTCTTTTCGCATTATCTTGTTTTGATTTTAATGCTGTAATATAAGTTCACTTAGCTACTTATTGAGCATAACCTTGCATTTCCGTTGGTCTGGCCACATCTGTTAAGTCTTACATGATACCCTTCTAAAGGAGAAATACCAGCTCTTTTTTTCCGAAAGCATGGTTGAGGGTTCCGCCCTTTCTGGCCGGGCAGCACCCTCAGTAGGGCCTGTGCCTTCTCCGCAGTGGGGGTGGGGAGCGGGGCGGGGGGCTTCATCGTAACTGTTTCTGACTGGGGTCTCCTCATGATTTGTAAAAGGTCTTGAATGAACAATTGTTTGTGCTTAGTTCTGTAGCGTTTCTGAATTGTGACAGAGCTGTAGATTCTGCACTCAGGGGTCTCTCTTTTTTTTTTTTAAGGGCGTTTTGCTAAATGATGCAAGTAGACTTTGTTGCTGAGGGAGGCTGGGAGAGGCGATCAGGGTGAAAAAGGACAGGATGGAGTGAAGGGAGCTGGAGCACGCAGGGTCGGCCAGGAGCCTGGTCCTGATGCCCGGCGCTGAGGAGGAGTCAGCTGGGGCGGGCGGGCAGCCGTGGGCAGGCGGGTGGTGGTCACGGCGACCGCCACGCCAGGGCCGCACCTTGCACGCAGTGGACCGCCGAGCTGGTGGGCGAGAGGAGGCCTGGCTGGCTGGTCTGGAGGGTAGAGGAGACTTAGGGCCAAGTTGTCCTGAGAACCTGTCACTTCCTTCCATTTTTTTTTTTTCTTTTGTAGTTTTTGTTGTTGTTTGTGTTTTAATTTCTCTGTTGTTTAATTGAAGGTAAGCTCAGTGTGCTTATGGACCATTGGCTGCCAGGGACCCTGATGAGGACAGTCAGGTTTTGGTCGAGGTCTGTGCAGAGCGCCTAGAGCCACGCGTGAGGTGTGGAGCCCCCAAGCACCCTGGCTTCCGGCCCCCAGACCTTGGAGTGGCAGCGTTGCCCCCCCCCCCCCGCCCCGCCCCCGCCCCCGCCCCCACCCCCGGCTGCACCCCACCGGGAGCCCTACTTCTACCTGCGTGTTCAGACAGGCCACGCCCCGCCTGCGTGCTGTCCCGCCCCCCCCCCGCCCCCCAGCTCCTTTGTCTATGTTGGTTGGGAGGGGGTGGGGTGCTTGAAAGGCATGGTTGATTTTTTTACAGGTTTTTCTAAGTGACAGTATTCTGAAAGGGGATTAACTAATGGAAGGGGTGGATGATACCAAATGGGACCAGGAGACACCCCTCTCCCCTTGGAGGAAGCCATAGGAATTACATCTGTTACAGGGAGAATGTAGATATTCTGCTGTACTTAATGAGCATTTAAATTAGCCTTTTCACCTCTTTTTAAATCATGTGAATGATGTGTTGTTTTGGACATCGGTAAATATGAACTCTGCAAAGGCAGTGAGCCTTGACTTACTATTAAATCCTAAGGATTTTGTGTAAGGTTTTTCTGCAACCTGTTTAATTTTCCTCATTTAAAGGGCCCATGGTTCTTTGTCCTGGAACCAAGCAACTCAGTGATTCATATTGGATCCCGGGTATACCTGCTGGTAGTGTTTGGTGGGGAACGGTCTTTGGTTTTACACATGTAAAAACCTGCTCTTTTTAGAAAATGTGCAAAAAAATCTTAGCTCTCTTTTCTGTGCTGTATTTTTGTTAGGAAGTCTTTTCATTAAGATGAGTAGGCAGAACAGGTATTTTTAGTGAGAAGTTGCTGCTTGCTTTCACTTTTAGCCAACTAAAATGTAAAAAGGCCTTCATGTTGGTGCTTTATCTTACTAATTTTGAAAGGTATGTAGAAAAATACAGGCCTTTAAAAAGAAATATGATTGTAGTCTTTGAATTTTAATAACTTTCCACAGAGTAGACAAACAGATGTACTGTTTTAATATATATTCTGTATATAGTAGTTTAATATGCTCTAGAAAGTAGACCTCTTGACATTCTTCTAGCATGATTTTCTTTTAAACTATTTTTCATTTTAAGGGCACGTAATGGAACCTGATTTTTAAAGGACTGTCTTAAGTTCTGTGCTCTTTGCAGTATTGTCTCAGGGTATATAATTTATGTTTTTAAAGCAACATTTATACGACACACATTTATAACTATTGACCGAAGAGCAAATAACCGCTTGTTTTGATAACTTAGCTTTGCTTTTCACAGGCGTGGGATCCAGAATTGTTTTTTCCTCTGTGAGGATTTTAACTCTAAGGCTTTAATTCTGCTGTTTAATTTTCAGGTTCACCAGCAACACAGCCTGAAATCTGATTTTTTTTCCCTTTCATCTCTGAGCTGGTTCTCTTTGCTGGGCTCCCAGTCTGGCCTCACTCCTGCTGCTGAGTGTCTGGGCCCCGTCAGCCAAGCCTCCCGCGCACCCCTTCCTTCCCTCGGGGCTCCCTGCCACGCCCACCCCCACCATCCTCAGAAGCATGCCCTTCTCTCACTTGCATTGCCGGCTGACCATTCTCTCCTCCCGCTGCTGCTGGTGACTCCGTCTTGGCCATGCTGTCCCGTGTTGGCGTTCAGAGTTCCGCTCGCGAGTTGCCTGTGCTGCGTCGTCTCAACCTTTGCTTTGACAGGTCTGACTCTCGGTTTGTTCCCCCAGGTCTCCGGTTGGCGAGAGTAACCTCTGGGTTCTGTTGTTTGCAGTCTCCCCCAGGGGCGGCGCCCCGTGGAGGCCGGGCCGTGCCCGGCGCACTAACCAGCCCTCTGTTCCTTCCCCTCTCCTTTTGCAGGACCTCTCTTGCATGCGTCAGTGTTAGTGGTAGCGCGCCTCTTCTTCCGCTGGGAGGCGACGGCCCGTTGGGCTCTGTCGCCGCTCTGGCTGGCTGTGATCCTTCCTAAGCGTATTGCTAAGTGCCGCGAGCTAGCCTGGGCCGGCTCGGCGTGGCGTCTGCAGCTGTGTTTGTGGGGCGCACACTGGGATTGAGAAATCAAGAGCTGAGCGAGTGGCTTTCTTCTGGGTGATCTGCTCCATGTCTCCACCCAGCGCACCACTCACGTTTGTGGGCGGGGATGTTGCCTTGTTTTACCCCGTTTTCCACTTTGTGCTAATCACTGTGACAGCTTTATCAGGAATATGTGTGAAGAACAGTTGTGACATAGTTGGAAAAAATGTATCTGTGTGTATCATCTGTGTGATTCCATGCCAAGAAATGTGTTTTGAACTGTATTGTAATTTGAAAGATATGTTAATAAATACCTTGCACTTTCTGCTTTTGTCTATAGCTTTTATTCCCTCTCCCACTCGGGTTCAGTCCGTTCCACGTCTTCCCCACACGGGCAGAGAGCACACAGGCCATCCCTCAGTGGACAGGGGTTGTCCTCAGGCCCCCCAGGTCCACCCCCTCTGGTCGGCTCTTGCCTTGAACAGATGTCCAGTTAGTGGAAGGTCAGGGTGACCGACTTGCTCATAGTCCAGGTCTCATGCGTCTACACTGACCAGGCAGGCAGGCTCACTGTGTTTTGTTAGTTGGAAGTGGGAGACTTATACTCTCTTTTTAAGTTTTTGAAGCATCAGAACTAACTGCTAGCAGTTTTTCAGAGGAAATCGGTGACCGTGGCACCGAAAGTGGGGGAAGTCAGTTGCCGTCGCCCGGTGACCTCCTGTGTCTGTCACGGGCATGCGGCCTGTTTGAGAAGCCGCACGCACACATGTGCGCGCTGCGGGCCCGGCTTCCCGTTCAGGCACCCTTGGCCCTGCCCGAGTTGCTGCAAGCTGCTCATGATTCATGGCCTTTCTTGAAAATACTTCAAAAAGCGACCCCCAGAAAAACATTGTTAAAGGAAAAGCTTGAGGAAAAAACCCAGAGGTTCGCCCCCCACACACACACTGCCACTCCCCCTGCGCTGTGCAGACGGGGAACCTGGGCTGCATCCACACACACCTGCCTCACCAAGGACAGAAGGGAGATCTGTCCCTAAAGGTAGCCCGCATCTTAGCGCCGTTCTCCCCAAGGTGCGGATGAGGAGAAGGATCCCAGGTTTCACATAAGGAAGAAAGGTCAGAAAAGAGGCTGGTTTGGGGGGACAGAGAAAAGGGGTGTCTCACAGAGGTCGGTTCATCTGTTTTAATGGAGTTTTAAAGCCTCAGTCAGAATCTGAAAGTTCCTAGTGATTCAAGTCAAGACCATCTTTCTTCTATTTTAATCCATATTCCAGGGATAAGTCATTGTTTTTCTACAACCCGGCCTTTGCTTGGAGTGATGGGAATCTCAAGAAGATGGACCGAAAACACCCGGAGATGTAAGGTGGAAAGTGGGTTTCTCTGCTTGGGGGAATTCCTTATGAGCAGAGCCTCTGCACCGTTTTGCCCCCACGCCCGGGGCCTGGACAGGGCCGCAGGAGGGAGTGTGTGTGTCCCGGCGCGGGAGCCTGCTTTCGCACCCGAGGTGCGTAGTGCGCGTGCGTCCTTTACGCCTGTGGAAAGGCTGTTCTGGTGCAGTTCTCGTCTAACAGGCGCTTCAACAGCGTATCTCATTTTCCAGGGAATTATTTATAGTCAAGTCTGAAGGGAAAAGCACATCGAGTTCTCTGGGTGAGCGCAGTGCTTTCAAGTCGTGGCTCCAACGAGGAAGAGCTCAGAAAGGAACTTGTCTGCAGCTTGAGCATGGCTTCTAGACTCAGAAAGACGTGGTGATGCTCGAAGACCATGTTTCTCAGCTGTACTTCCGGTGTTGCCTGGAGGGATGAGAGGCAGAGACGTTGAAGTTAGATCCAAATCAGGAAACAGATGCTGAGCCAGTCGTGCAGCCCCCTTCTCCCCCCAAGTACCCACCTAACCCGGGGGCACACCTGTGCCTGGGTGATAAAGGGGGCTTGCGGGCGTGGTGTGGCGTAAGAAGCCCCGCCTCCAAGCCTCTAGGTGAGGTGGGTGGGCCTAGCCTCCAGCGCCTGAACAAGGTCCAAGATCCGGTTGGGTTTGGGGGCACATGTGGGTGAGGAGGGCAGCGGTTTGGGCGGAGAGCGGCCCACCTGGGCTTGATCCCCGGCTTGGGTCCCGTGTTGGTGGCCTGGTGGGGCGGGGTCCTCGGGTGGGCACGTGGGGCTACCTGACCACGCCAAGGCCCTGCCCAAGGGTACAGGCCTCCTGGGCTGCTGCGATCTTGGGGCCCCGGTCACTGGGGGGCCGGGAGGGTGAAACCACAGTCCCGCCCAGCACTTGCCGGCCTGAGTCCCCAACCCTCCATCTGGCAGAGCTGGAAAGGGGGCTCCGTGTCAGCGCCACAGCCCTGATGCTTGGTCTTTGAGACCAGCACCCCCTCCCTTTCTCACGGCTACTTGCCTGAGGCCCGAACCCTTGGAGGGGCTACCAGGATCACACCTCCAGGGCACCGCCCTCTCCTAGGGCCACAGGCCCAAAGGTCACACCCCCAAGGGTCATCCCTCCCAGGGCCACCAGCCATCCCCCTCCCAGTCACTCTTGCTGCGGGGTCACACCCCTTGGGGTCACACCCTCCCCCAAGGCTGCCCGCTTCCCTTGAGTCACACCCTTCTCCATGGTCACACCCCCAAAATCACATCCTTGCCCCAAGGTCAAGGCCTCCTCCATGGTCACATCCCCGAGGCCACACCCTCTCAGTTGGCTGACCTAATCCGTGTTTCTCTCCACCATCACTCTGGTCATTAGCTTAGGAAATGTCATTTCTACACATGATAGGCAAGGAGATCCAACCAGTCCATCCTAAAGGAAATCAGTCCTGAATATTCATTGGAAGGACTGATGCTGAAGCTGAAACTCCAAGACTTTGTCCCCCTGATCCTAGAGCTGACTCCTTGGAAAAGACTCTGATTCTGGGAAAGATTGAGGGCGGGAGGGGAAGGGGACACAGAGGATGAGATGGTTGGATGGCATCAGCCAGTCTATGGATATGACTTTAAGCAAGCTCCAGGAGTTGGTGATGGACAGGGAGGCCTGGCGTGCTGCAGTCCATGATGGTTGCAAGGAGTTGGACACTACTGAGCGACTGAACTGAACTGAGCAACATGATCTGATGTGGAGACTCAATCGGTGACTCCCTCTCCCCCTCGGCCGCCCCTTACTCAGGCCTGGGCCACGGCCTGTGTGGACCCTCCTGGACCCTGACCTGCTGAGCCCGACTAGCAGGTCCTCAGGGGACCGGGACCCCCAGTCCTCAGCCCCGCATCCCCTGGCTGCTTCCCGCCAGAAACCAGCTCTTTGGCCGCCCTCCCTGTCCACTCCCTGCCCTTGTGCTCGTGGAGCCACACCCCGCTCCTCTGGACACTCGCCTGGTTTCCCAGCTGCGGGCAGCCAGGCTGGTGGGCCTCCTTTGAATTGGCAGCCATGGACCGCAGGGAGCAGGCCAGGTGCCCCGGGGGGCCCAGCTGTATCTCCCGGTCAGGCCAGGGTCGCTCTCAGGGGGCCCCCTCCCGTCTCCTCCTCCCCTCCGTGTCCACGGCCTCTCGGGCTCCCCTTTCAGCATAAACTCACCTCCCTCCCCACCCAGCCTCCCAGCCCGCCCCGCGGTACCCCGTACCACCTGCCACTCCTGTCCAAGGCCAGCGCCCCGCCTGCACAGCCCCCCACACAGACCCGGCGCCTGCATGGGTCTCTTCCCCTCCTGGACTTTGCTTTCAGCAACAAGCGTGCAGGAAACAGCCTCCAATGGAAATAAGAAAACGTCCTCCCTGATCTCGTAAAAACTTTCAGCGACCGACGCATAATTCTTTCCCCAGGTTTGTAAAGCTCTGGTGGCTCAGCTGGTAAAGAATCTGCCTGCAGTGCAGGAGACCTGGGTTCCATCCCTGGGTCGGGAAGGTCCCCCGGAGAAGGGACGGGTACCCACGGCAGTGTTCTTGCCTGGAGAATCCCATGGACAGAGGCGCCTGGGGGGCTACAGTCCGTGGGGTCGCACAGACTAAAGCGTGACACTGTCACTGAGAGAGTTCTCTTCTTTTGCCACCTTCATCTTCTCTTTTGAAATTTCTCTCTCGAATCCACAGTAATCTGGCTTTCGACCCCTGCGTTTCCCCAAGACTACTCTTGCCGAAAGTGTTCCTGGTACCCGTGTCACCAAGTTCAAGGATAGAGCCTCAGGTCTCATCTCAGGCCACTGGCGCGTGTCAAGCGGTTGGCGTCCCTGGTGTCTGGGGCGCCGCCTTCTCTTTGTCTTTCTCCCAGCCCATCCCACCCCTCTGGGAAAGAATCCGCCTGCAATGCAGGAGACCTGGGTTCCATCCCTGGGTTGGGAAGATCCCCCGGAGAAGGGACGGCTACCCACTTCAGTATTCTGGCCCAAATTCCGCAGACTGGACAGTCCAAGGGGTCACAGAGTCAGATGTGACTAAGTGAGTTTCACTGCACTCACCGCCCCCTCTAGGTCATCACTGGAGCTGCTGCTTGGGCTCCAGGTGGGGCCTCACCTCTGGCTGAAAGCTGAAGCCCTTGGGTCTCTCCTGCCTCCGTCCCCGAGCACTCCATGTGACCTCAGGCCATTCAGTGGCTTGAAAGGTCAGCAGCAGGCCCCTGGGCACCCCCGTTGTCCGGCAGACTCTCTCCTGAACTCCAGACTTGAACCTGCGTCCCTGCTGAGACACCCAGACATCCAGCTCACACTCTGACATTCAGCTGAACTCTGACCTCTGCCCTTCTGCCCTGTCTCGGGACATGGCAGCTCCTTTCTTGGGGGCGCCCAGACCCCGAACTCTGGCGTCCTCTGTGCCTCCCCCTCTGCTCTGACCACGGCGCACCCAGCAACCTCACCCTCCAACACCCCTGGAATCGCACCTCTTCCGGCCTGCAGCCGCCACCCCAGTGATGCCCCCAACCTCCCACCTGGACGGCCAGCCTGGCCTCCGACGGCTTCCCGGCATCCACCCTTCCCTTCCACCGACCATGAGCAAACATCAGCTGGAAATGTCTTCAGGGCAAAGGTCAGATGAC